ATAATTATAACTGGTAAAATACATCTTAAATTGAAGTAAAAATTCAAAAATAAATCAAATTTATAATTTTTGGTCGTGTAATAGTAGATAAATATGTAATATAAATAAATATGGACTCATAGCAAACATGTTTTTTTTTATTATTCAAAATTGAACTGTCAATAAACGTCCAAACAATATGTTAAGGCTATTAGTATACGATTCAGGCTAGTGTTGTCACTTGATTATATTAGTCAGGTTGGGTAGCAGGAAAATATTTCAGTTCTGGCAGAGAGGCTGCAATTTTAGGTGGTTATAGTATATTATTTTAAGTATAAAACATAAACAATACTGCAGCTATTGATTTTTAAACACAGAAACCCCTTATTAAATATAATTTTCATGTTAATTGTTCACCTTGCGTTTGCTTGAAACTCATGCAATTTGAATAACTTATAGCTTTAAAAAAAAGCCGGTATTTCACTGAAGGTTCTTAGACCAAAATATATAGGATTGTATAATTATAACTGGTAAAATACATCTTAAATTGAAGTAAAAATTCAAAAATAAATCAAATTTATAATTTTTGGTCGTGTAATAGTAGATAAATATGTAATATAAATAAATATGGACTCATAGCAAACATGTTTTTTTTTATTATTCAAAATTGAACTGTCAATAAACGTCCAAACAATATGTTAAGGCTATTAGTATACGATTCAGGCTAGTGTTGTCACTTGATTATATTAGTCAGGTTGGGTAGCAGGAAAATATTTCAGTTCTGGCAGAGAGGCTGCAATTTTAGGTGGTTATAGTATACAAGTTTCTGAACCTAAAACCGCCAAGACCCCAATTTTTAAGGACCTGGGTCGTCCGTAATGACGTCATCAAAATGGCGGCCGTAAGAGGATGCTGGGTCCCCATGAATTGGCTATAACGACCGAATGCCTGAACCGATTTTCATGAACTTGAATACATTATCTCGGCCTGGGTTGAAAATGGTCAAGTTTCATCAAGTCATTTCAAAATGGTGGCTGTTCAAAACTAAAAAAATATGAGGAAAATAATTGTGATAAAACGATTCAAAGAGCATATTCCAAAAGCGTCAACAGCCCACCAAACATCATCTTTTGCCGAACATTTAATATTCCAAGGCCACAATTATACCAACATTAGCAGCAATATGGATATTCTACATTTTTCTAAAGATAATATAAACTTAACACATTGGAAGAGTTTGAGATATATAAGGCAGTAAAATCCGACCACCATAATGTACTAAATGACCAACAATTTTTCTCGGAGTCAATTTTCTAACCAAAATCTTAAAAAGTTCTCAAATATGCTGAGTCAGGAAGGTTGGGAGGAGGTCTACTTTGCACCAGTAGAGTTGAAATTTAACATCTTCAACAGTATTTTTATGTATTACTTTGATATATGCTTTCCTATCACTAAATGTAGAGATACTGATCAAAAAGTCCCTTGGAATAATCATGAGCTAGAAACCGAGAGGAAAAAAAATTATAGAAAAAAGCACATTAAGGAGAATAACAAAAAGTGAATCTTTAGTGATTTCAGCTAAAGAAATGAACAAAGCATTAAAAAAAAAATATTTTCAAAGCTAAACAAAGTTATATGGATGACAAAGTTTTGAGATCAGGTAATGTGTCCAAGACAACTTGGAATTTAATTAATTTAAATATAAAAAACAAAAAAAAAGGTTGTGAAGAGCATAGATGAAATAGAGGTAAATTCAAAAGTATTCAAAGTTAAGTAACACTTTTAATGATTTTTATGTCAATGTAGTTGATTCTGGTGTAATTCCAAAAATAAATACACCAAATTTACTAGTACCTAATTTAGTAATAAATAACCAACAAAATAAATTTAGATGTGAACCAATCAGTGAGACAGATATCAGTAAAATAATTTCCAAATTTGATAATAAACTATCATCAGGCTTCGACGATGTTCCCATAACAGTAATAAAGCATGCCCAGAGTTCACTTAAAAAACCATTTGCACACTTGGTAAATTCATCATTTATATCCGGCATATTTCCAGATAAATTAAAAATTTCTAAAGTAAAACCTCTTTATAAAAAAGGGGACCAACTAGATGTTTCAAACTATCGCCCAGTAGCCTTGTTACCTGTCATGTCTAAAATTTATGAAAAAGCTATGTATAATCAGCTTGTTAACTTTTTAGAAAGTAATGATCTAGGCTACTCGATAAAGAGCAGCACGGTTTTAGATCAAACCATTCTGTAATATCAGCGGCTGCTACATATATTGAGTCAATAATAAATTCAGTAGATAGGGGAGATAAAGTAATTGGAATAATTATGGACATAAGCAAAGCATTTGACAGTGTCTCTCATCATAAATTATTTAAAAAATTGGAAGGACTAGGGGTTGTAGGAATTTCACTAAAATGGTTTCAATCATATTTAACTGACAGGAAACAGTTTGTAGAAATTACACACTTAAACAATCATAACCAGATGGTTAAAACAAGATCGCAGTTGAGAACAATTAAACATGGTGTACCACAGGGTTCTATTTTGGGTCCCCTACTATTTCTTACATATATCAATGGATTACCCAAAGTTATTTCAAATTCAATAATGAATACCATCTGTTTATATGCCGATGATTCTAATTTTCTTGTAAGCGGAAAATCTGTTCATGATATAGAAAAATTTGCCATCGATAACTTGATGAATATCAATAACTTTTTTTCAGATCATCAGCTATTACTAAATCTTTCCAAAACTAATTTTACACGCTTTCATCTAAAAACTAATACCAATTCAGATTACCCAGCACTAAAATTAGCTGGTGAAAATATACAAATTGTTGAGAACACTAAATTTCTAGGATTATACATAGACAGTAAATTAAGCTGGAATGATCATATTGACCATGTGGCAAATCGAATGTCAACAGGCCTATTTGCACTTTATCGATTATCAAAATTTTGTAAACTTGAATCCCTAAAATTGGTTTATTTTGCTCACTCACATTTATCCTTTGGTATAAGTATTTATGGAGGAACATCACAAGCTAATTTAGACAGAATTTTAATTCTCCAGAAAAGAGCAATACGCATCATGTTAAATTTGGATTGGCAAGATTCTGTTAGGGAAAAATTTGAAGAACTAGGCATAATGACTGTATATAGCTATTATATCTATCAATGTATATTATATACTGTCCAAAATTCAAATAATGTCTCACTGGTAGGGGATTCTCATCAATACTGTACCAGAAACAGAAATAACTATGCAACACCTTCCCATAGATTAAGATTTTTTGAAAAAAGACCAATGTATATGGGTATAAAATGTTACAATGCTCTTCCAACAAAATTAAAGGACTACAAAATTTAAAAATAATCTAAAAATGTACTTTTTAACCAATCCCCTGTACTCAAAGAATGAATATTTCCTCCTACATAATATATTAGAATAAGAACTTTTTCAATAGTGAATATATCTTGTACTTTTTTGGGATTAAGCATTATGATTTTGATCCAATGTAATGATGCCATTCGTGCACATGTTTGCAAAATATGAATAAAGTTGATTTGATTTCATTTCATTTCATCTAATTTTATGTATGACACTGCCATCGGTTTACTGGAGAGGGGAGGTGTTATTGACAGGACACAACCTGGGATGATAAGATAACGGATGTACACCACTGCACTGACCACCTGCAGTCTGGACTCAAACTCCGCCGGGTTAGCGTCGTCTGTTTTTTTAACTGATCAGTTACCATAAATGTCTCGTATTCGTGTTTGTGTCGTGTTTAAATGTTTATTTATTTTCGTGTAAATATGACGCTTTGTATGAAGAAAGAAAACTGTCCTTGTGCAGCTTGATGAAGGTGTCACACACACACCGAAACTAGTTGTGCTAACAACAAAATTGGATTGCTTTATAGCAGGTATTTAAACCTTTTCTAATGAAATATTTCAAACGTAAATACTACAACAGCAATCCAGATATCGTCCATCTATCACGGGAAGGGTATCGTATAATTATCGCATCACTGTCACCGCTTATCAAGGAGGTCGAGCGAGACTTGGACTGACAACACTGAATCGCTACCATTGTTGCGCTACCCACCCCACCCCCCGCCTAGCCACCACTGTTGACTACTACACCGCTGATAACAACAATGGACTACATACAGGACCAGCTGTTCAATACCTCGACATCACGCTCTGCAGATGGTCAGCAATGATACATCAAGTGTAGTTCTGTGCGCGGGACGCCTTTGTGTGATGTTGAGGCATAATTCTCACTTGCCACATCACGCACAACAGGCTCCCGGTATTTCCTTCCATAGGTTTTACCATTTAAAAGAAGGTTGGTAGCGACTTGATCGGCAGTAACTGTTGTAAAGTTGTCTTTTGGTTTTGTCGCATCTACATTTATGTTCTTGAGGAACTTCCAGGCCCGTCTGCTGTTCACCTGCATATCTAAACTCTCCACAAGATCACATCACTTAGTTTTGCGATTTTCGGCAATGACTGACATAAGCTCTTCATATGTGCTGACACTGTGCACATTTTTGTAAACTTTACTTGACAAAGTCTCTCAGGGGACAAAATATTGTGTGCACTGCACAGTGTCTCTATGGCCTCATACACTTTTTTGAGGCGAGGAGCAGTTATCCTCCTTTTTCTACAATTGATTATAATTATAATTTAAATTGCAAGTGGACATTTGATTGTGTTACTCTCTGATAGAAAAATATTCAGAGTCAAAATAACCCAGCAAATCTAATATTGTTTGGAACAAATAGTTTTTAATACTGTATTGTCTTTTATTGTTTAGTAAACTTCAATAGATTATCAATTTTGCTCACATAACATTTTTGGTTTCAAATGCATCAGTTCACTTTTGTATTAACTTCAGTTAGGTAATTCAAGTGAGGGTCTGATCAATGAAAAGCAGTCTGCCAAACAAGTATTAGTCTTGTACATACGGAAAAGGGAGAATAAAAGGCATGTTTCTACAAAAAGTTTAATGTGCCCACAATTAATTAAAGTTTATTTGCAATTTGATCATGTAGCAGGATGGAAACCGACCACATTCTGGATGGTTCTTGGTGTCACAATCACTTTCATAACAGTCAAATATCAACTGAACAACAAACTAAGGTTAAAATAGTCCAACAACTCAGAGAGCTTCTGCCCAGTCGGGATCCACTAGTAGCTACTTGAAGAGGAAACTGAAACATAAACAAGAAGTGATATAACAATCTAAGATTGGTTTTTATAGGCAGTTCATAAAATTTTGCCCATTTTTTCAACTGGCTGCTAACAATGTAATATAAATTATTACAATATTGCAATAGGTACAGTAGACCCCCAGCACTGCGCCACTCCGGTACTCCAGTAATAATGGGTGTGGTGAGGGATCCAATTTGAGACACATTATCGTGTAACACTTTAATTCAAAGTTACATTTTAGAAGTTAGCCTCCGGATTACATTGAATATATTATGAAATTGGTGTTAATACCTGCTTCGTAGTAATCCTAATTGTTGCTAGTGTCGCAACTAGTTTTGACTTTCTACAAAGTCATCTTTAAGCATCAAGGATGTCAAAAGGGTGGTCACTTCATATGAAGGTCGTCATTACACACAAAGTACATAAAAACACGAACACAAACACGGACATTAAAATAGTACCACATTGACCGGTAGTCTAGACTCTTCATCCATCCGGTCGTGTCACATCATTCCTTACTACAGTTACCGTTTTGTTTGTTTTAATCGTATTAAATGTGCCTTTTTTACCATTTTAATGTCCGTGTTTTTATGTACTTTGTGTTTAATGATGACCTTCATATGAAGTGACCCCGCCACCTTTTCACACCACATGGATTGCACTTCAATGCCAGGGGTAAGGTAAGGGTAGCTGACATGTTCTTGAAGCTGGTGAGAGCAAAGTCCAATAGAGCTTCATGGGTAAAATCTTCTATGATGTTTGACAATGGGAAAATTAATATTGTTGAAGAACACATGAAAACAATGATTGATGAAATGAGGCGTGATAGTTCAGTGGGTTTTGCACACACTATCTCAGCAGATTTTGGAGATCCGAAGCACATGTCTGCAGGTGTTGCCGTTATCTTTAGAAATAAATTTGGGAGACCACAATCTACTGATTATATCTCAAAAAATCTAACAAAGCAGCAAAACTTAAATAAGGGAGCAACAGTCTTTAGTCTAGTGACAAAGGAAGTCTTTTGGGGAAAGCCATCAAAGACAGACTACGACAGCGCTTTTAAACAGCTAACAGAAAACTTTAAATCTAGTGAGCTTAAGACTTTGGTGTGCTCACCAATGGGTTGTGTCCGTGACCTAATTGAAGTGGATCATTTTATACAGAAACTAGTGGAATTCCAGCAGGCAACTGAGGCTACAATAATCATTGTCTCTTATTTCCAAAAATCAATCCGATGTCTGAGGAATGGTTTTTTTCACAAAGATTTTGTGAGAGCCCTGGAAAACTCTGTGGTTAAATGGACTACTGCCCCCCACACTCAACAGTCATCACCAGTGCAGAATGCAAAGCATCAGCAGCCAACTCCGTCAATGAGAGCCACAGCAGTCGACACTAATATCCAGCAACCACCTCAGCAGCAGCCAACTACATCTTTGAGCTCCCCACCAGTCGACACTACCGACTACCAGCAACTACCCTCATCCACCATCAGCACCAGCACCACCAGCACCTCTACACTATTAGCAGAAAGTTCTCCCAAGTGCAGTGTAACCTGTGATGATAAGAATGAAAGTGAAGGTGTAATGGAAAAAGGTAAAGAAATGTCAAAATCTTTTTTAGATTAATTCAACTCAACGTATGTTGTTAAAGAAATAAAATTTTACAGTTAGAATATTTATGTAAAGAAAAAGATTTGAATGTAATTTGTTTGTGTGAACACTGGCTGAAAGATGATCAGATTAATTTATTTGTTCCTAAAGATTTTGTTCCAGCCAGTGTTATATGTAGGGAATCTAAACTTAATGGCGGAGTGGGTGTTTATATTAAAAATTGTCTGAATTTTACAGTTATTGATGTTACTGAATTTTATATTGAGTCTGATTTTGAAATTTGCTGCATAAAACTTACGGATGAAAACGTTTTGATTGTTAGTATTTATAGAGCTCCAAGTGGAGATGCGAATAATTTTTTTGACTGTTTTGAGCGTTGTATTAAAAAACTATTACTTAAGAACCCCTTAATAATTATTGCGGGTGATTTTAACATTGAAATGGGGAAAAATAATAATGACTTAAATAGCAGTTTCACTAGATTTAGTAATATTTTGAGATCACTTGACCTTTTTTTAACAAATAGACAACCCACACGTAGTAATTCCTGCATAGATAACATTATTGTAAATTTCAATAAGAATTTATATCAGACTATACTTGGGGATAGCTGACCATATTCCTCTATTTTTTTAAATGTGTACAACTAAGTATCCACAAAGAAATGAAAACAAGGTGTGTTCCAGTGATTCGTATTTTAGAAAACAAAATAAAGAAAATATTGATTTATTTATTACTTACCTAAAACAAGAAAACTGGGATATGATTGGCGATTTTAAACAAAATAAAATAAATGTTGAAAAACTATTTGACAAATTTTTTTTAAAGAGATATAGATTTGTGGCATTTTTGTTCACCATTAATAAAAGCAAAAAACAAACAAAATATAAAAACCAATAAATTAATCAACTGGTACACACCGGAATTAGAAAAGACAAGAAATGAAATGTTACTGTTATTTTCTGTTCATAAGAATCTTCTTCCAATAAGATCAGAACAATCTCAGGCAGCTTACAATGCATATATTCAAATTAAAAGAAGGTACAGAAAAGAATTGGCAGGAGCAAAGAAATTGGCAGTTGAAAAATATATTAACAATGCCCCAAACGACTAAAATTCCCCCTCTTTTACCCCGGATGTCAGCCTGGATCCAGATGAATTTAATACATATTTTCAAAACTCAATAAAAGAGTTAAGTGACGGAATTCCTACTACACCTTTTAGTATGGAACACTTTTTGAGAGATAAATCTATCTATCAAGATTCATTCATGTGGCAAAAAGTCTCACCGGTGGACATTATAAAAGTTGTGTCTAAATTTTCAAACTCTAAGGCTATGGATTTTTATTGGTTATCAAATCATATAATCAAACAAACAATTGAATTTATAAGTAAACCACTTGCTTTTATCTTAAATAACTGCATGCAGGAAGGTTATTTTGCTCAATCACAAAGTTTCAAAAGTCACACCAATATTTAAGAAGGGTGACAAAAATATGGTTCAAAATTACCGCCCAGTTTCAATTGTTCCAATTTTATCAAAAATATATGAATCAATTATGTATAATCAACTCAATTACTTTTTTGAATCACATAATATAATTACAAACTGTCAACATGGCTTTCGTAAAAATAAATCAACAACATCAGCAATAATAAATTTAGTAGATTATTCTTTGGATGCTTTTTTTTTTTAATATCTTTAATATCTTTTGAGGCGAAAAAATCTGTTTCTCTCGTGCTGTGTGACCTCAGTAAAGCATGTGTCCCATTTGATATTCTCCTAAAAAACTTCAGTTTTACGGTGTGGCGCAAAGCTCCTTGAAACTGATTGAGTCATACCTCTCAAAGAGATTACAATATGTTTCCGTTAGAAATAATTGTTCCAAGATGATTGAAGTGGTATCTGGAGTCCCACAAGGATCAATCCTTGGCCCTTTTTTCTTTACAGTGTATATTAATGATTTGCCCAAAAACTTAAATACCTATTCCATTATTTATGCTGATGATACAACATTACTTTCCAATCATGAAAACTTGATTTATTTATAAGAAATGTCCCGACAAGCAGAGACAATGGCTTATGATTGGTTCTCGACAAATAAACACTTGTAATTTGGAAAAAACACAATATATAACATTGAGTTTAAAAAGAGAAGTCAATATGGAATTGGTCAAGCTTTTAGGAATACATATTGACTCAAAATTAAACTGGTCTGATCACATCAAATCTGTTTGTAGCAAAATTTCAAGAGTGACTTGCCTGCTTTGGAAACTCAAAAGTTTTGTTAGTCCTGATTATTTGAGACTAGCATACTTTGGCCTCTTTCAAGCACATGTAATATATGGATTACTTGCATGGGGTCACTCACCACATGTTAATGACATCCTATTGCTTCAAAAAAAAGCTATTCGTAATATGGCAGGAGTCGATCACGTAGCACACTGTAAGCAACTTTTTGTAGAGTTCAAAATTCCTACAGTATTCAATCTATACATCTTTCAAGTTCTGGTTTATGCTAAAACAAACTTAAATATGTTTCGTACTAGGCAAAATATTCATAATCATAATACCAGGGGGAGGGGGAATTTGGATATAGTACCACATAGGCTTACCAAAACTAAAACTTCTTTTAAACTAAATTGCATTTACTTTTTTAATAAGCTGCCTGAGAATGCAAGAGAGGTTAGTTTAAACAGGTTTAAATCTGTATTGTACACCTGGCTGGTAGAAAATCCCTTTTATAAACTTGAGGAGTTTTTAATACACAAGTTTGTATTTCTTTTTAATACATTAATGTCTTGTTTTATTTTTATTTGCTATATGTTACATTTGTATAACATTGTATAACAAATTGACTTGTCCTATTTCTGTACAAACAGATCAATGGAAATAAAATATTCTTATTCTTATTTTTACCACCCTTTTGACATCCTTGACGCCTGAAGATGACTTTGTAGAAAGTCCAAACTAGTTGCGACACTAGCAACAATTAGGATTACAACAAAGCAGGAATTTACAACAATTTCATTTAATCCACAGTATGTAACTGTATTTAGGAGCTTCGCGGTAACAAAAATATCATCATCGTCTTCTGCAATCGTGGTGAATTCATCATCATTTTTTGGCCGCATAGACATTATCATAGTCTCCAGTGACCGTGATTAGACATCATTATCGTCTTCACGGTCATGTAGACATTGTCATCGTCCAGCAGTTGAGGCAAAATTCTGATAATTTCCCACGGTCGTGTGACAATCATATTCATATTCATATTCAAACATCTTTATTCGTAAATCATGTACATTGGTGGTACAGTGAATAGTGTCAGAATACTTAAAATAAAAATACTATTTCTATTTATGGGAGGTGGAAAATTCATCAAAAGAATATAATGCTAGATTTATTAAATGCTCCTTTAGAATTTTCTTGAATTTAGATAGGTTCGTTTCTTTTTTTATGAATTCAGGGACAAATTTTAGAAAATCATTACCAGCATATGAGGGTTTTTTTTCAAAAAGTTTTAATTTGTGAGGCTGGACAAACTCCCTTCTCCTCCTAAAATTATAAGAATGCACTGAATTTATTACTTGCTCAGATTCATTTTTTTTTTGCGATAAGAATTGTTTCATAAATATATTGCCCATAAACTGTAAAATTTGTAATTTCTTAAAATGTTCTTTTGCCGAATCATCTCGTTTAAGCTTAAGCATAATTCTGATAGCTTCTTTTTGTCGCTTCAGAATACTATCCATATTTAATATTTTTGTTGACCCATATAATGCTAAACCGAATGAAATATGGGAGTGAATGTGTGCAAAATATATACTTTTTAGGGTTTTCAAATTACAATAAAAGGACATTTTTGATAATGCGAACATTCCAGAGTTAGTTTTGGTTAAAACTTTCTGTGTGTGCTTACCCCAATTCAAATTTTCATCTATTGTTAATCCCAGAAAATTGATTTGATGTTCCTTTTGAATATTATTTGAGTTGTAAGTTATTGTTGGATCTTTTGTAATTCTGTTCAGTGCTGTTCTGAAATTTATAAATTTAGTTTTTTGTGAATTTAATAATAAGTTATGATTGTAGAAATAGTTCCCAATATTCTCTAATTCTACATATGTAAGAATTTCAGCTTCTTCTGGAGAGTTAGATGATACAATCAAATTAGAATCATCAGCGTAAAGACATAATTTAGAATTTTGCTTGTAGGTTAAAGTATCTTCCATGCCCTTAAGGTAACACAAAAATAGGCCCCAAAATTGAACCTTGTGGCACCCCAAATTTAATTGGTTGATAAGTTGATGATGATTTGATAATTCTATTATGATTTGTCAAATGGGTAATTTCCACGAATTGAGATCTATTTGTCAAATAGGAAGAAAACCAATTAAGAGCTCTTTTTGATATTCCAATTATTTTAAGTTTTTCTAGTAATTTACTATGTTTTACACTATCAAACGCTTTAGAAAGGTCCATAAATATGCCAATTGTATAATGTCCTTTGTCTACTGATTCAATGACTGATTCGATAAAAGAAACAGCTGCGCTTACAACTGATCTTCCATTCCGAAATCCATGCTGATTATCATCCAAAATATTAAATTTTTCCAAGAACTCGGATAATTGTAAGTATACGGCTTTTTCATACACTTTAGAAATTGAAGGAAGAACAGACACTGGGCGATAATTGGATATAATTTCAGGGTCATTTTTTTTGTGTAAAGGATCATTGTCTCCTGCAGTCACGAAAAATCATGAATACACTTCACAACAACAGAAACATTATCCTCATCTTCTCCAAATTTGACCTTTTCATTAGCATTTTTAGACCGTGTGGACATCATCATTGTCTCCCGTGGTCATAAAAACAACATCATCATGCCCGATTGCGGGAATAGGGGTTTCCAATTGCACAATCTTCGCAGACGTGTCGGGTCTTGGTATCGGAATAATATTTTGACGATCCATTCTTGATACTGATACCAATGTCCAAATATCGGTGGTATCAAGAATCGACACATCACTACTTATAACAATTGTTTTGGTACAAAAAAACAGTAGTTTGCCCAATTAAACTGTTTTTATTAATGGCATTCCAGTAATCCGACATTTTAACTAATCTGGCAGTATCACGGTCCCATATCTGCCTGATTACTGAGAGTCTACTGTAAAATGAAATGAAAATCCTTTATTTCAACAGGCAAAGTTAGGGCCATGTGGCCCTTTCTTACACTTAACCTGCATACATATAAATATAAAATAGAATACACAATATAATAGAAAACATTATTTAAACAAAATACTTTTTAAAAACAAAATGTCTAACAAAATCACTCACACACTCAGTCAGCAATTACCGAAGTGCCTAAACAGTCCTAGGACGCACCAGCCAAGACCATACGCTCAAAGAACAATTTTTTCATTGCCGCCACGAACCGAGGGCAACTATCAAGCATTTTAATGGATAAAGGTAGGTTGTTCCAAAGACGGCAGGCAGTTACAACAAAGGCCCTCATATGCTGTACTCCAATGATGATGCGCAACGTGAAAGATGTAAACTCCTCAAACTACCTTAGGCTACAAAGCTGAAGTCACTTTCAAAATATTTTGGCAATCTATTTATTAAAATTGAAAATGCTAACATGGGGATTTTAAGTAGACTCTGATTGTTTAACTTTAATATTTTTGATTCGATGTAGAAAGGTGTGATGTGCTCAAAGCGTCTTATATCAAAAACAAAATCACAAGCAATAATTCTGCGAGCGTTGCAGCACACCAGCAATAAAATGTCCCACCAGCAAGCAACAGCAGCAAAAAGCACACCAGTCATGTTATTGATCACAGAGTTACTGTACCGAGTCCCACTAATTTGAACGTCTGGCAATTGGAACAAAATAAAACCAACCGAGAACACTGGGAGTCGTACGTATATTTTGGTAGAAAAAAAACTGTGAAGTAGGTCTATTTATAAACCACAATATTTAGAATAATTTCCATTATCCTGTGACCAAGCCTATTTATTATTTACATTTTTTTGGTTCCTTTAAGGTCGTAGTGTAGTATGTGATTGAGGGAGGTGATCATAGTGTCACTGTGATTGTGGGAACTTATCACGATTTCGCCATTGTCGAGATTGAACATAGCGTTTTCATGATCAGGGAAAACAATCACAGGGAGCAATTTATGGCCATTTATTTATAGTCAAAATAAAAACTTTGCTTTTTGAGAGTTTTACTGCATTTACAGGTAATTTGAACGATTTAGTAATCCAACAAGGGTACATTCACGATTCAAAGTTTGGATTAGCAGGGCTTTGGTTTATTGTCTGATAGTGTAGAAGGAATAAAATTGATTCATCTACTACTCAATCAAGAGAGGCTTTTCATCTTAAGCTACCGGTACCGTTGAAAATGCTAGCAGTAACAGTGAAATCATTTATCTTAGGCCTATGTTTTGGTAGTGTAAAGTGTTGTTTCTTATGCCAGTTTGGACTCATTCCCATTCAGTTAAACCTACTATTCTCTCAATAAATTCTTCTACCAGTTTATATTACATTTTATATTTCCAGGTACATTTTATATCAAATAAATGAATAAATTAAATTCAAAGTATTACAAGTAGTATTCAATAGTACTCAAAGTATAAAATAGATGACACACAGTTAAAAATAAGTATTACCTGTAAGGGTATCCGTGAGCTTTCGATCTAAATATTGATAAGATAACGCTGAAAAACACTGCTACAATAGCAAGACCCACAACGACAATGATCTGTCGCATTCTTACGTCTCCGTTCTTTCGAGCCGCAGCATCCGTCATCATGATCATACCTAGGACTATAGCGCCATCTGTGAAGCGTTAAGAAAAAATGTTCTCATGGATTAAAACTTTCTATTTCCACAATTTATATGTTACCAGTAGTTATACAGATTCATTAAGCCTTTACTATATATTGTGTAACTACATTAATCAAACAAATTAATAATGGTATTGGCAAAATGTTTTGATTATTTATTTGCTCATGCACAGTATGTACATTTTGTAAGAAGTATGCAAAGCTTGCACTAAGGGATAAAAAGGCAGAACGTAAATCTTTTGTCAGACACAGTAATGATAATGTTCTGATGTAGTTTTTGGCATTTCACAGCTAATTTTATTCCAAAACTAATATACTTTTAATGATGTTATGTTATATTTCATTGAACATGCTGTTGAGCTTCCTAGCACAGACTTAACCAAACTGTATATTACTAAGTCTTCAATTCTGTGTTTGTTTGTGTTTTAATCTGACACCAATTTTATAACTATCCATTATATAATCACCATTGGTACCATTGGTTGGACAAACAATGAAAGATGATTTTATGGTCCAAAGTTCAACGTAAAGTAGCTCATCGAGATAGTTTCACCAGAATCCTTAACCCAGTCATTCATGCACGAGTAATTGATTTAAATGTTACCATTGTCTGTTAGGTGTTTTTATTTCCCTGTCAAAAAGTCGGTGGAAATGTGTCTTAACTGTTTTTTTGTTAATAACTACCTGATGAAGTTGCTATTGTACTAACTCTATAGAGCAACAATGAGACAAGTTGGGAAGCTGAAGATGGCATATAAGGTTGAAACTTGTCATCCACAAGAAAATACGATTGAAGACGTTTAAGTAAAATACAATAGTTTCTTTGGCCGTACCACATGTTTGTGAGAAAGATGTTTAGATCTACGTGAACACCTTGACAGATTGATGTAGTTTGAACTATGATTTGCTACAACTATACAGCCTTAGAACAGTGAAAAGGATACTGAGCACAATTATGATATACGTCTCCAGTACAAACTGGCCCTGTGACGATCCGTGGATGTAGGCGACTCCTCCGGATTGACTGCGGTGGACAAACGGAGGACTGCGGATATGGTTCCACATCTGTCCGGACACCATTGCGAAGCAGAACAACTGTCACAGAAGAACATATTGATATTCATTGTTTGATGAACAAGTTGCCACTTACACACTGGTATGATATTCTAAATATTCACAAATCTGATTGGTGAAGCTATATGTTTCAAGGAAGGTACTTTATCCTTGAAAATGGTGCAAGTCAGTTAAGATCACACTTTAACATTGTAACCAATCAGGTCACTGTAGTACACCAAACTAGTCACTTGTCAAAGTAAATTTACAATATAATCAACAATTATATAACTCACCACTGCACTGATTGCCCACAGATTCTTGTTGTAGAGAAAGTCGAGATTGTTGCGTTTGAGGTACAAGAATCCAGCGACCAAGGCAAACAACATGACAAGGGCCATCGTTCCCGAGTAGTTGGGTGGACGGAAAACTCGGATCTGCAGAATAATGTACAGGTTTGAGAAGGCTTGAGGTGAAAATTCAATAAAAAATAGTCTGACAGTAAGAATATGGTAGGTAGTTAAGGGTATGTTGGTGTGATAAGGTTAATAAAGTAATGGTGCAAGTGATTACATACAAAGATGTCTGCTCTAAAAACTTGGTTTACTCAGATTTAAACAAAACAAAAATATATAGGTAGCCCAGAGATGTAATTTAAATGTCAATAATACATAAAAATCATCAGAGCTGTTGCGTAGCTTGTTGAGGCGTTTTCAGACCCCCCAACCCATTTTTTCGTTCCAACATACAACTATGTAATGTATAAGGAATCAAACACACAAACAGCACACGAGTAATTCCAATTCTCTAATTTGTAGGCCTAATGATTTATTACACAGATCAAAGATCACAGATCACAGATCAAATTAGCACCTGTTCAAATCACTTGTACAAGGTGTATATATCGGTACTTATTTTGTTTGAATAGATTCTTTATCTAAACTTAAAAATCACAGCTCACGACTGAGACTTTTACCTGAACATCTGTTCTTTCTCCGATCCATTTGGCAATGGACTCGGCAGCAAATCCGACCCTCTGGATGTCGAAGGTATCACTGTTCTTGGGTTTACCTTTGGCTGGGAAATGAATGAATATGGGAGCCGTGTTTAGTCTTAGCTGTAAAAACAAAATTACAGATTAAATGCAATTTTTAAGTATCAATTTACTAATCAGGGAAGAATATCTACCAAAGAGACAAAAAATTCTCTCTACACTGTAAAAACTGAAACTTGACTTGATGTAATCCTATGTTTAAAAATTGTCAAGTTTAGTATGGTAAATAACAATGGAGCATTATCAGTAATGAGCTTGAATGTTTGATCCTAAAAAGAAACTTAATGCACTTCCTACGGATAAAAAACACAGTAGACTCCCGATTTCCTACAAGGGAATTAACTAAGCTGCAGATCAACCAGGATAACAAAAAAATTAAAAATCTATTATACAAGTTAAATGTACGTTATGCAGCGACAACAAATATGTTTAGCAAGAGGAAGCCTATCATCTTATGGGCACACTATAAACACAGCTTCCATTGTTTACTTTACTAACCGCCGACACACTCCCTACAACAACCTTTACACATACACATCCACCCCAACAGCGCAATAGATTTGACAGGTTACATTTTGGTTGTGTTTTAATTTTGTTATTACTAGACCTGTACAGGCTCTCCAATATTATTGTTTTTTAAACATAAATGTATAAACATACTTAAAAGGTATGTACACTGCATTTAAAATGTGTTTTTATTACCTGTATTAAAGCTTAACTATACATTTAATGTCAATGCTACTTATTTGCCAAGCATTCTTGGTTAGATTGCATCATGCAAGATTTCAAGTATTCACAATCATTATTGTGGATAATTCTGAGTCTACTCTATATTAATCTGTTCTTCTGAAAAAACTCTTTAAAATAATGTTCTATTTAGTATGTTTGGAGTCAATTGGTTAATAATTACAATACAGCATACATGGAAAATCTTCAGCTTACTTCACAAAAAATGTTAAGTTAATAACATACTACGTTAAGAAATAATATTAAAATTAAATTAGTCTTAGTATTGGGTACCTTCAATGACCAAAAAAAACAAAAAAAAATACAGTTGTTATTGAGATAAGTAGGCCTATTAGAATTTTACAATACATTCTGGTGAGATTGGGTTCATCATTAGGCTACTCACTGAAATATAAGTGTAGATACTAGAAACAGATGTTACACCTATAATATTACTTTTTATCCATAGTTATAGAAGTCTGAATGAAATCGTAAATGATACATGGATGGGTTTTTTATTTGTATAAATTGTTTAAAGTGATAAAACTTAATCCTACCTACCATTTGAAATACATCACCACCCTCATCAAAATCCACCATAGCAAAGAATAACTTGTTGGAATATATTTGAGAGTAGCGGAACGAATTCGCCACAATAATGAACTCATCATGTGCGTGCCTGCAATTAAAACATAAGTGGATTAAAAGAAACAATATTTAACTCTAGGCAACCGATAAAGTTTTGTGTTTTCTAGAATCACTAAGGAGACTTAGGCCCGGTTCACACGAGCGACATACCTAGCAGACTAGGCTTGGACTAGGTAAGCACGACTGGGTAGCGGTCCACAGGATCACACCGGTTCACACGAACGACATGTCCACGGACTAGGTGAAAATATCGATATCAAAACCACTCGGATCCATCACTGGTGCACAATGAGAACAAAGAGAAGAATGCGAGCTGCAGCTCGACTACCTTATCGCTCGTGTGAACGCTCCCATAAGGCTACATGTACTGCTACGCAGTTCGACTGGGCGACTGGGTAGTTGCCACGACGGACTGGGAAGCGGGGCCCAACTAGGTTTTGGGACACCAAGCTTGAACACGACTAGCTAGTCGGCGTCCTAGGCTCGTGTGAACGGCTCCATTTGATCATGTGGTCCGCTACCCAGTCGTGCTTACCTAGTCCAAGCCTAGGACCTTAAGGCGGGAACAAGCTGGTCTAGTGGTTAGACACGAGACTTCGGTCCAAGAGGCCCCGTGTTCAAGTCACCAATGGATTTTATCTAAGTGATAATGCCAATGCCCCGCAACCCCTAGGTCTAGCCTGAAGTAATGTGAAAAACAATCCCAGACTCGTGCCTAGCAACCTAGGACAAACAAATAAAATAAAAAAAAGGAGAGTTAAGTTAAGGCTGATTGTAAGAAGCCATTGCATTTTAATTTTAATTTTTGGTTTAGTTTCATGAAATGTTATGAAACCTGTCCACTTCACAACAGAGAACAAAGGCCAACATACATAGAGGCAGTATAGGAATACAGCGTTTATTAAGTTTAAAAGAAAAGTCCTGGAGAAATTATAAACAATCAAATGAATAGGCCTATTTGTTTCATGCAAAGTTAAAAGAAGTTAAGCTGGGGCGTCGGATGACAAAAATATTAAGAGGGAGAGACACTTAGAATTTTCTAACCATAGGCCCATTACATGGATTTCCCAACTGTATTACTCAAATTTCCCACCTATATTACTCATATTTCCTAACATTAAGTTGTAAAAGTAAGATGAATATTTTACCTTTAAAGCCTCTCTGTCTGGCATACACAAATAGAAATAAATGAAGGTTTTCACACATTATGGAGTTGATCGTCACTACACTGTACTGATCAATAAAACATTAAGTTGATGTTTACAGCAGCCTCTTAATACCTATTTTTTAATAAACGCTCAATGGATATAGCTCTCCACAAGCAGCTAACAAAGAAATTCCCCTAAAAATCGTTGGATTATCAACATATGAAATTTCCAATAGGCTAGGCCTACTCTTTTATTTTAATTATTAATTCATACAGATGGAATGATGGCAGTATAAAACAGATTCAGACTTCCCAAGATCCCAACTCATAGCTTCAAATACCTACCCAAAAATCCCCAATCTTTTCAACATGATTGGGGGGGGGAGGGTTGGCCCTTAGTGACGCCCCTTATGTCAAGTTATGACTTTTACAACAATTTTGAGCAAAAATAATTTTTGTTGCAATACCAATATACCGGACAGCCCAGAGATTAGGCTAGTTCAATGCCCCATTCCAAGCTATGGAAAGTTCAGCATTTTCTCAAAGTAAATTGTATGGTTGGGGGGATTGGGTCCATCTCAAAATGATTGGAACTTTTCTCTTTTTAGGTTGACTTAATTTACAGTAGTTCTGTTTGGTTTTTAAGTGGCATAAAGTCTCTTTTAGTTAATTACTATAAAAAACGACAAAGTTTGATATATTCATTAAAATCCTACCTTTTATAAACTAAAGTCGCATTTACACAAAGCCAGTTGATGTTACCTTGCCACAGGTAACTTGAAATACAATAGAGGCAGGTAACCTGCCTGCCTCCTGGCCTTGTGTTAACGGGGCTTTAGTATACAATACTAATTCTTACAGAAATCCCCAACCTAATAATATACCTTCAGGATGTTCTGATTGATGGGGCCGGTTTAAGGGGAAAGCAAAGTACACGGTTAAGAACTCTCCAATGTTCAGTATTTAAGGAAAGAGACTAGAGGCATTGAAAAAAGCTACGTAGGCCTAAAAGTAGGATTAAAAGTTTATTTAAATCACCAGGACTGTGGGAGTAAGGAGTTAGGATAAATTGTACCTATATGGTAAGGTGGAAGACCCTTACGCATACTTCAACTATTTGTTTTATTATTTTTCCCAAAAAACAATAACCACGTCCACAAATAATAACAAAATTGACTATAGGCCCTAGCTACTAACAACTCATCTACTTTGACTCGGACGACAGACGTTTTGGATGTTCTAAAGCATTTTTTAGGCCTAGCCTACTTGTAATTTTTAATGGATGATGGGCAGTGGTTATAGTGATCGATAGAATCAAAGGGTCGCTGGTTCAATCCTGTGAAAAGTGGGTTTCACGGGGGGGCCGGAACTTTGTTTGCTTACAATAAGAGAAAATTGTCTAGAACCAGCGCTGCTGATTGATTTTTAATATGGTATTTAATAAGTTATTATCAAATTAAATCAGGCTACGGTACGTGTTGCTTATTAATCATTACTTATTATGTTGGTAAAATAACACAGCAGTAAATCATTCATATAGCCTACCTGCAAATTGAACATTGTCTTTGCGGCTCCATTGCTGTGAACATCACAACAACTGAATAGTTTCTTGGTGTAGCTTTCACAAATTCTCTAAATCTTGCTCCATTAAACTTTAAAACTGATCGCTTCATATTCATTTCTGTCAGTTGTTGCACTCTTTCACTTAAACTCTGTCCCTGTAAAATCAATTGTCCTTAAAAGACAGCAAGTCATTGATAAAGCAGGCTGCAGCCTAAATCATGAAATAACTGTTTCATCTTAGAAAACTTTAACCAAAATGAATTTTAACTTACTAAAATTTAATAGTTTTACTAAGTAATTCTACATGAATTTATGTTTATTATTTTGTGGCATTACATGCAGACACACAATGTAAGTTACTTAGTTTGAATTTAAAATGTGAGTTAATTACAATGTCGAAAACTGCTAAATCTCCTATTGAATTGTAGGCCAATGTGAAGGGAATTGCTGAACTAAACAAGCAAAACAAGCGTTTCAACATCAACTGACTTTGAAATAGGCCTATGTTCATTGTCTCTGGTACTGACACAAGATAAACATGTAGGCCTAAACTCAAGTGTGTACTAAAATATGTAGTTGTCTGTTGGATTCATACTTTAAAAGGTTGTATAAATTAATTCATGTGTTTTCCCATTGAAAACTAAACAAATAACTTTTAAACCGTGTTTAAACAGGCCAGAGATTTGACTGCAACAGTTTTTCTGGGCCTGCATCTGCGGAGAACTGTGCCTTTGTCACTGTTTTACTCTGGATTACCATAGCAAATACAAATTTGAGCTAAAGAAATACAGTTAATGAGCGAATTGAAAGGGATAAAAACATTAGCTTAAAATCAATATTTGAATAGGCTCATCCTCCCATAGAAAGACATTAAGTGGCCCAAAATTATGCTTGAGTTAGCCTATCAGATATTTTGACTTATGGGTGTTTTTATAATTAATTAATGATCATTTGATTAGTTTCATTTGAAAGATACATAGGTAATCAATCGTAAAATAATCACTCAGCCTAGATCCCAATAAATGCCGGCCAGATAAAGTTATAACATAACCTAGTATACAGTTTGTTATACTTGCCTTATTTTTTATTTGTCCAGTGCAAGACTGCAATAAATAAGTACATAAAGACAGAAGGACAAAACTCCATGATATATACATTTTAAATAAAAGTTAGTAAATTAAGTCACTTCTATTTGTTTACAAAACCGAACTGAACTTATGTCGAATCGATGTCTATTGCTATTCGTCTACTAAATCGTCTGCTTCTGCTAGTGGTAGTGCTGCTATGCTGTCACCTGTCAGCAAACGTTTCACTTCACTTTCACTTCGGTTCAGAATTCAGCAGTATTTCATATCAGCCGAGAGCGGACCACTCACGAAGCGACAACCAGACAACAAGCAACGTATTCAGCTGTTCAACAGGCAAGTAGAAATCCCAAAACCGAAGAAGTTTTAGATTTGATATTCAATGATCTGGTAAGAGACAAATGATTATGTCTTATTAATTAATTATTGAATGATCTTGCTTCCACTACGAATCCCCATCCAGTGGTTCTCACATGAACTTAAACTCCTGGGGCCCATTTCATAATAAACTACAAGTTACAAGTTACAACTTGTAACTTGTAATTTCCATAAGATTTGCATTGGGCGATCAGCTGATTTACTAATAATATTAGTTTGTACTTTATTATGAAATGGGCCCCGGGTCGTCAGGAAGAAATCTGACCATAGGATTTTCTACAGTAGAAGACTGGGTAATGTACCGGTTTACAATTTTCGGTCTCTGCGTATAGACAGTGCAAAGTCCTTGTCCTTGCTAAGAAGTGCTGATTACACTAAAGGGTGGAAAAAGTATACCCCAGAATATTAAAGCCTTCTGGTCCTATACAAACAGTCCAGCTATCCCAACTTTCATACGACTCTATAAACTTGCCGAAACCTCCATGGATAGATGTGAACTGTTTGCGGAGTATTTTTCCTCCGTATTTAAAGACTCAGATAATTCGGTCCCCAACTTCAAGAGAAACTATACAGTTCCTCAATTAACCATCTTAGCCACTAGCCAGCGATGTTAAAAGTAAACAAACTTCAATCCCTTGATCCCAACAAAAGTGTGGGGCCCGATGAGATCCCTGCATCAATTCGTCGTTTCTTTGCCTCGGCGATCGCTCCACTCCTCGCCATCTTGTGTGCAGGTTTATTGGCAGTTGGAGTCTTCTCTTCATACCTTAAAACAGGTTTCGTGATACTTATCTGCAGTTTACTGAGAAATTAGAAACATATGACACATACATACATTTTTTCCATCTGTAGTCCTTTGTCGTAATTAATAAATTGGAAAGGTCAGTAAAATAAAAAAAGAAGAATCTTTACCAATATTTATTCTTGTATCTTGGTGTATTGTACTTATGTAATCCCCCCCGCAGCAAAACTGCTATGTAAGCAATTTTTTATTTGCCTGGATCTGATTGAATTTTCACTGAAATGTTCCCTTAATCAATATGTTAGATTTAATTCCTCATTTAAATAACATTAGGTTTAACGAGTACTTAGGTTGGTTGCTGAAGGTAAAAAGCATGGTAGAACGATAAGAAAGGGGTTTTTATCACGGCCGCCTTTAACTCCAGGCCGCGGCCTTCGAAGTGGCAACGTCGCAAGTGGTGTTGTAACAGCTGTTTTGTTTGGAAGCAGCTAATGGTATTATTTGTGTATTTACGAAAGATTGGTTACTGGACTATGACAATATTGACTCCGCTTAAAAATGTACAGATATAGATTTTTAATTCATATTGTTTCGGTTTTCAATTCTGTATGTTTTATTTTCAATGTTTTAATACATTATTTATGTTCATACATTTTAATTTTAATCAATAAAGGGCGAATTCACATGTCTGCCATGTTATCTTATGGGACGTCTGTCACTAAACAACACCACTTGCGAAGTTGCCAATTCTACCAGGCCGTGGCCTGTAGTTAAAGGTGGCCGTGTTTTTATCCTGCCAACATGTTTTAAAAGGTGTTTTTATTGAAATGTTAAATTCTTTTTATTAAATAAAAAAGTTGCAAAATTTGATCAAAATGTATCCATACAAACTACAACAATTTATTGATTTTATCTTCCATAAGAAAAACTTGGAAATATTTTAAAGTTTCGTACAGATTTTTGGAATTTTCTCCATAGACTAGCCAACACGTATGTTTGATCTATGCTATTACCTAGCATACTCTGAAACTACATGGTGTAACACACTAACCTGCTTTAAGATTAAGAAGAAGCTATTGTATAACCAACCTAAAATAAACCCTTTTTTTTAAAGATTTTATTAACCGATCAGCATTTCATTGCTATACAGGTTAGATATAATATAAGAAAGACAAAAATAACATTATTAATTACATTAACATGGATAGAGGTCAGCTTAGCCCCTCAGGCACTTATTGTCACTGTTTTAGCGGGTCGGACTGAAAAGGCACTGTCCACCAATAGACAATAGACAATAGACAATAGACAATATATATTTATTCCTTTAAGCAAACAGATAATGCAAGTCAAGAATTTTATATGGTAAAATACATAGAGTTGAGACACATAGCTTAAAAACAAGATAAGAGCAGACAAAGATAAAGATAAAGAGTTTACATCAGATAAACAGGTCATGATGTGAGGCGATCGTCCATGTAGTCTGCAACAGAGTAGTAGGATTGGTCCTTTAGAAATAGAGTTACAGTTTTCTTAAATCTATTGAGTGGCAAATTTCTAATAGCTATTGGGAGTTTATTATAAAGAGCGAGTTGATGGTAAACATGACAATGCCGGGTTTTTGCAAGCCTTACATATGGAGTAACAAGGTTATGTCTAAATCTAGTGAGGTGATCATGATGAGCATTTTGAGGAGCAAATGAGTTGATATTTTGTTTGACATATACTAAGGTGTTTAAAATATACACAGATGGCATGGTCAAGATTTTTAACTTCTGAAAGCTAGTTTTACATGATTGACGATCTCTTAAGTTGTCAAGTAGTCTTACCGCCTTCTTTTGCCATCGGAAAACCTTTTTTGCATGGCATGAATGACCCCACAGTCGAATACCATAGCTGAAAGTAGCATGAAAGAGTCCATAGTAGACAACTAGCAGTGTATCAGAGCTTACTGATTGCTTAAGCCTTCTTATTAGGTACACAATTCTTGATAGTTTTTTACACAGATTACGGACATGAGGTTTCCAAGTGAGGTGGTTGTCTAAAGTGAAACCCAGAAGTTTGACATCACTTCTTGCATTACAGGTTGTCGGAATTTCTCTAAGAGAGAAATAAATTAAATCTGTTTTTTGCTCATTTATTACTAAATTATTGGATGCAAACCAGTTTTTGGAAGAGATTAAGGCATTTGAGAGTAGTTGATTGGCATGTTCGAAACAACTATCTGAGCATATCAAGGTTGTGTCATCAGCGTAAAGTACTGACAAAATAGGGACATTACAATACATATCGTTAACAAAAATCAGGTACAAGAAAGGTCCGAGCACGGAGCCTTGGGGTACACCAGCCTTAACATCAATGAAGTTAGAGCTAACATTATTTACTTTGACCTTTTGTTTACGTCCAGACAAGTAAGATTTCACAAGATTTAGTTCCTTATCTCTAACACCATAGAAATCTAATTTTTTGTACAAAATATCAAAAGATAGGCAGTCAAAAGCCTTTGAAAGATCAATCAAATTTGAGGCAATGATATTCTTGTTTTCAAAACCTTTAATGATGAAGTTGACAATAACTTCCATCGCTTGAACTGTATTACATTTTGGACGAAAACCATATTGATGATTATAGAGCAAGTTGTTGTTGTTGAAATATTGATACATTTGTGCAGTTATACAAGATTCTATTACCTTACCAACTATAGGAACAATCGCTATAGGCCTATAACAATCAGCCTTATTTGGATCCCCTCGCTTAAAGATTGGGGTGATATTAGCAAACTTCAAACATTCAGGAAAAATACCTTGGGTAAGAACTAAGTTTACTAAGTATGTCATGGGTTGGGTGATGATGTTACCAACTGATTTTAACAAATAATTGGACAGACCAAAAACATCCTCACTTTTTGAGTTGCTAAGGTGTGCTAGAATGCTGGCTATTACATCAGAATTCACAGTTTGCAGGGTGAAACCATCTACTGGGATTGGTTTATCACAATTCTTAAGTAAGTCAACATAGCTATCACAACTTACATCTATACCTACACTTGGTTGAACTGAAGTTGACACATTAGCAAAATAATCATTTAAAATATCAGGTGTGATGGGAATGTGAGAATTGGTCTTGTTTGCACCAGATTCTCTTTTTATAACTTTCCAGGCCATTTGACATTTATTCTTTGCATCCTGTATAAGATTATCATTTACTATTTTCTTTGCTTTGACAATTTCTTTGTGATAAAGTTTTTTAGATTTTATGTACATATTCTTGTCAGTTACAGTTGCACTGCATTTCCATGTGTCATACAAAATGAGTGTTAGGTTTCGCATAGCTTCAAGCTTTGGTGTGAACCATTTTTTAAAGTTGTGACTCGGTGAAGGACTACCTTTGACTGTTTTATTTTTTACATGAACTAAAGGACAATGGTGGTTAAAAATTGAGCATATGATGTTTAAAAAGAATGAAAATGAAAAGGCAACATTTACATCAATAAGGCTATACATTTCCGACCAGTCAACTATTGATAAACTATTACTAAAATAACCTAATCTGACCTCGTTCATTAAGCGTCTCTTTCTCATTGGTGTGTCTTCTTTGGGAGCAGGGACGTCATGATGTAGGTTAAGTTTCAGCCAGACTCCAGTGTGATCGGAGATATCTTGGTCAACCAGGGAAACTTCGTAGTAGTCCGGTGTTAGGTTGGTGTAGATGTTGTCCAGGCCAGCAGTAAGACGTGTTGGGCTGTGGTTTGTACAGTAGAGGTTAAAAGATCTTAATAAATTCAGGAACACTTCCGTTTCAGAACTTTCTAGATTTAAAAAGTCAACCTTGAGATCACCAGCCAAGGCTACCCGTTCATTGTTTTTTACAAATTTCTTGAAGACGTGTTGCAGAAGATTGTCTAGGTTGTCTATGAAAAGTCTAAAACTAGAGTCAGGAGTACGATATATGCACAAAATTATTATATTCCAGTCAGATACTCTAACTGCTGAACCCTCACAGATAAATTCTTGACAGAATGCAGAAATGTCAATACACTTAAAAGACATGTTCTTCCTAAGATAAATTGAGGAACCACCATATGAGGATGATCTAGTAAAAGAGTTGGCTAAAACAAAGTCGTCAGGCACATAATAACATATTTCTTCGCTGTTTAGCCAATGCTCATTTAAGCATATTATGTCAACCAATGTGTGGTCCAAAATCACTTCCAACTGGCCCAATTTATTTTTCAAGGAACGTATATTGAAAAAACAAATGCTTAGCTTCTTTAAAATTTTAGTAATAAGCCTAGGCTGATTTCCACGATGTTGGCTTAAGTTCCACTCATTACTTGAGTGTTCGACTCTAAAAAAGTCTCTTGTCCTACCCTAGGCCTAAAACGATTTGCTCTAGGAGGGTGGTATTTTCCTATGATACAACCCTGAGGCCACAGATTTGGGTGCATCAGTTCTTCACTAAGTTCTAAAGGAACACCTACCTTAAAAGAGTTGTAGCTAGTATATCTGGTCATTAATTTCTCACATTCAAAAGAAGCATTTTCATTCAGGCTCTTTAGGTAAGTTGTAATAGTCTCTGGAGCAACACAAGGGTCTAAACCCGATAGAAAGAGCCAGCTCATTCTTTTGGCTGGTTTTATAGGGTTGTTGTCGCTCACCTCTAATGTGCCATGAATTATCTTATTTCTCGGAGGAAGCTTTAAGGCTTCACTGTATGAGAGAGATTTATTATTAGGCCTAGGCCTACTATTGTCATCTTCATTTGGATTGATACTGCTAGAGCGTGAATTTCGAACTGGCTTGTTGTTTCTATTACCTTTCTTGTGATTAACTTCTGTCCATTTATAATTGGAGTTATTGTAGACTTTGTTGTGTTGAGTTACGTCTCTCTGAGAATACCTATTCTGGTACCTTTTATTCGTGTTTACATTTATTTTTGAAGTTGTCCGATTTTCCAGTGAGATTCCCTCGTTTAATACTCTTCTCTGATTGGAGCATGTAATATCCATAGAGTTGGGAGTGAGAGAAAAAACACTATTGTCAACCTTATTTTTGTTTGTAGTTATTTGATCACTCCCCACTTCTTCGAATTCGGTTTCATCGGATATCACATTTTGCAGGCTAATAGGCTTTGTTTTTGGTGAGGAAGAAGAAGTTTCAAAAGGGCTCAAATTAGCTATTGCCTGTTTACTCGATTGAGCAGACGACAGGTGTGCATTACTTAACCTTCTATGATTCAAGTCAACAATAGGCGAGCGTTTCAGGGCAGGAATTGGACTAGCCTACTGCGCATGCGCAAACCGTAAAATTGAGCTGACCTCAAATGAACGACTCTCACACAATTGAAGCAAAAGAGTTGTTTACTGTTCTGTCGTTCTGTCATCTGCGGATCTGCATCTGTCGATCTGTCTGCCCCTGCCGTGCCCCAATGATTGTATTTTTCAAAGTCTCAAGTGTTTAAGCTGTGTGTGTTTTTTTTTTTAATTAATTGGAGGTTTTATCGAAGTATCGTATGTTTTGAAGTCAGATTTAAGTAAGTGTATAAAAGAGTGTTTATTGTTATGCGTTCTACCGTGCACCCTTGTAAGTTAGTTTTTATACTGTAAGTTAGTCTTTAAAAGTGTTTGTTGTGTTTTGTTCCAAGTGTTGTCCAAATCAAACAACACGAGAAGAGCTAATCAAGTACATGTACCCCAAGTTAACTCAACTTTGGCCAGCAAGAGCCCATATTTTAGTAGTGTCAAGATCTACAACTCACTGCCAAGGAACATTATCCAAGAGCAAAATTTCAATAAATTTAAGAAGATGTTAAAAGAATATTTATGTGAAGCGGCCTATTTTAAAGTAGAAGATTTGTTCAATTAGGCCTATTATTGTTTATCTACCCATTTGACGACCACGTCGCAGGAGCGATGCTAGTGGGACATCATCAAGTATCAAGTATCAAGTAAGTAAACAAGGGGTACAGTTTCTTAACTGGGCTACACTAATATCGATTGAAACTACCGATTCGATTAGTAAACTGCGATTTGTTCACCATCAACAAGTTTGGTTGGTTAGGTTAGGTTATGATAGATTAATTTTATAATAGATACCTATTATATTTTAAAATATCGATTATTAATCAATATTTCAATTCGATAGTTCCAATAGATATTTAGCGTACCCCAGTTAAGAAACTGTACCCCTGTAGGGTTACACAGTTAGGACATGGTTAGGACTACCGACAACGAAAGCTTATCAATGTTTTACTTCACAATCCATAACTTATTCCTTCTGTTATCTTCAAACGCATTTATCTACTAAGAAGTAGGCCGAACCTTGTTTAGGCAAACATTCAATAGCCTATTGTATTGGATTATAAAATCAAACTAAGCTAAACTAACCTATAACATAACTAACCAAAATTTGCTGTATAAACTTAGGCTATGTTTCGATATTCAAAATTAAATTATCTATACCTAATAATGAATGTTCCCTTTAACAGGAAAGTACCCATTCTTTAACTTACATTATACTTAACCTTTATAAAGGCTACTCATACACACATATAGGCTCTAACCTAATAACTTAGAATGCTGTAACCTTTTGAAAGAGGCATTTCCTCGTGCTGTTGTAATTTTATTTATTTTATTTATTAAACACCAACGGCAAACACCATTTTACATTAAGTAATAGTCAGAATATATTAAAACATCGTTTGTTTAATTTAAATGGCGGTTTGTTTGGAATTATTTAGGGTAACATGGCCATGAGAAACATGCTATTTGAAACTCCAACGACAGAAAAATAAACGTTAAGTTTAAAAACGATTAAATTGTAGGCTAGTTATTTGTAGCGCCCAAAAACTGTTGTGCCGTTACCTACTTTTAGGAATAAACAATCTGCCCTCTACTTAGTGATGTAAAAATCATTATAGGCCTACAGGTTGTTATGGTCATATTAAGTATTATAAAGATCAAAATAACTAGGCCTACAATTTTTTCTTTAGTTGGGGTAATTTTGATGAAACAATACATTTACAGTCTTCATTTTATGCTAGAATGTTCTACCTACTATATACAATGTAGGCTATTAAGAACTGCAGTAAAGTCCTTTAGAGAACCTGCAATATCAGTACCTTCAATATATATTGGGTGAAATATCAGTTCGTTATACAAATTGTACTTTATATTATTCCCTGCGATATAAATTCCGATTTTTGTTTTGAGTATTAAAGGTATCGTGATATGAATAGTTAAAGCCATAGAGTCTTTTCAAATAGACTTTCACACTGTGCTGTGGTGGTTAAACAAGGTTAGTTCAGTTTGGTTTAGTTTATGTTAATAATACCCCCGTCGCAGCAAACCTGCATACTAAGCGAATTTCCATTTATCCGGCTTGATTTCTACTAAAATATTCCCTATAAATTTTCAGATTTATTTCCTATTTAAATAACATTAATTTTAGTGAGTACTGAGTAGTTAGGTTTGCTGCTACGGGGAAGATGTTGAGATGTGTTTTTTCAATTGAAATATTGATAGCTTAGTATGAAATAAACCAAATTGCCAAATTTGATTAAAATATATCTATAAACAAGCAAACTAGAACAGTTTATTTATTCTCCATAAGAATAACATGGGAATTTTAAATTAAAAATTTTTTTAATTTTCTCCGTAGTCAATGAACATTCAAAAACATTTCAATGTAGTAAATTATTTGTTTTTTAAGCTCTTCAAAATGGTCTAGAGAGAAATTTAGAAATTTTAAGTTTTTAGGGTCAACAATGAGAATACCCCATTTTTACCCCATAAAACCCCCCATAGACCCCTGATCCCATGGTCCGATTATGCTGGTTCGCAATCTCGTTTGAATAAATGTATGTTTACACGTTTGTACCAAATTTAATCAAAATCGGATCAATTTTGCTCGAGTTATCGCGCTAACGGACACATATATAAATATATATATATATATATGAGTTTGATCGGATGGTGTTTTTGGCCTCTGGGGACCTCAAAACGAAAAAGTAAATTGGTCCCGGGTCTAGGTCTTACCATGAGACCTACGGTAATAGCTTATTCCCTATATGGGAAATTCGCTAAAAACCAGGTAACACCTAAATAAATACAAATTGTTCCAATAGCATCATCATTGGGTTGGGTTAGTGTTGTACAGTTTTCTATCAAAACTGATTGTCAAAAGCGCCAAATTATACATAGTCGTGTCTTTTCATGAGTAACTTAGCTTATAGAAAAAAGCTAAAAATTTTGTTAATGGTGCCTTGTTTGTTTATAAACAATAGGCCTACCACTTTCAAAAGAACCTGCGCAGAACCATGGCTGTCTCGCGCACGTAGAGGTGAAGGGTGACGGTTGGGAAGGGCCTGGAGCAGTGGTGGGGATAAGTCGTTGGGGCGAGGTGTCTTTCCCCCCACTCTGACTCTCCTGCTGTCCTGCATGCACGACTCAAACAGGTGCGTGGTTTTTTTCTATGTGGTAGGCCTATAAGCTAACATAACCTAAACGCCGCAATGGTCTGTAAAAGATTGGCGGGTGGCACTCTTTTTAAAAAGGCCCATAGGCTAACAGATTAATAAGCAGGCCTATTTCTTAATCAATATATTTTATATAAATTTGAAGCTATTGTCAGTAGGCCTATTAATTTATAGAAATTGAAAATTTGATAGGATAGGTAGTATAATACATTAAAGTTTCTCTGCAGAACTTTACCCCATAACATTGCTGTTGCAGTGCAATGTAATTTTCAGAATCAGTCTTCTTCGCTTTGCATTTAGGCTAAGTAAAATTGATTTTCCTTGCTGCATATTAGGGAACATTATTACCATGTTTAATAGCCATAATAAGGTACAGTAGACTCCCTCTTATTCGGACACCTTTTAACCTGACATCGGTTAAACCAGACAACACTCGGTGGAAATTACATCTCTTTAACCGGGCAATTTTTATCAGCACGTCGGTTTAACCGGACTAGGTCGGCAGGAAGTGGGAGGTAAGCATTACTGAAACGACTGTTCTTGTGTTAAGGATATGAGAACAGTGATTACTTGTCTAAATAAAATGCTCTACTACATTTTAGTCAAATACTGTATATACAGTATGCATTTAAACGGTCAGTTTTAATGAGTTTGTGGGACGTCAGTTTAACCAGAAAACCCATTATCCGGACTGACCTCGGTCCCGAGAGTCTGGATAAGAGGGAGTCTATTGTACTGTATATTTTACTATGTTATAGT